CTTGCCTTAGGCCCCTGGGAAAGCCCTGGTCCTGGAGGAGGCGGGGGGAGAAACCCCTTGCCCATCCACACGGGACCATCAAAGACAAGAGGTGGACAGTCATCAGGATGGAGGCGCCCAGGCCCACTGCAGCCTGAGCTCCAGCTCCCCACTAGCCCTTCCTCTTCCACGTTCCCCTTAAGACCCCCGGAAAAGTTCCCTTTTTTAGGTGGGAAGAATCTACACCCCCTCACTTTCCAAAATATGTCTCTCGAGCTGAATGAGATGATCACGTGGCAGGCAGAGGCTTGGAAATCAGGACTAGCAGCACACTGGTGTGTATTCTGAAAAGACAGATCCCCTGAAAAGTGCCCTGGGGTCATCCCTGCATTTCTCAGGAACAGAACAGTCGTGGAAAGAATGATTTGCCTCTGTGATTACCGTGGAGCCAAGATGAAAGCCAGAGGTGTAATGTTGTGACTCAGATTTGATCCTGTACCAGCCCCCATGGTTTTTGCAGACCACCAGCTTCTCCATCTCTCCTGCGAGTGCGGGATGCCATTCCTGCAACCTGCTGGGGGCCCACAGGCCCGCCCCCGCCTCTAGGGAGCTGCGAGTGTGTCGGAGAGGGAGGAGTCTAGGCTTTGTGGGATTTTTTCCTCCTGTCTGTTAGACCGCAGATGTTTGACCTTTTTCCCTCTGGGGAGAGCAAATGCCTGACGGCACTGGTGCGGATAGGGGGCGAGGGCCCTCATCGTAACGGTCAGGGTCCAGCTTCACCAGTCGAGGAGCACACGGGTCCGTGGGAGCCATGGAGTCTTCAGAAGGCGTGTCATGGAGGAAGGGTCATTTCTGTGCCCAGATCTCCACCTGGTTAGCCTCTGGTCTAAGATATTTGAACTCACAGTCCTACATGTTAGTTCAGCAAAAATTCTGGCTTCTGATACCCAAAGAGCTTGAAGTCCCCCTCGAAACGTGCGTATAGGCGCCGGATGTCACGCTTGCTGACGCCCAAGAAGTAGCGCTCCACCTTGGTTCTGTTGTACACGGTGATGCCCGGGGGGATGGTGGGGTAGGACACCAGGTGGTCGATGCCAGCTTCTCTCAAGATGTATGGGGCATCATCCTCCAGGGTCTCATGGTGACCAATGACGCTGTACTTGATCTCGCAGGGTGCGCACAGCTCCACATATGTCACCCAGTGAATGATGTGGTCCCCGAACTGCAGGTCCAGCCACCTGTGGTTCGGGTCACCCAGGTAGCGCACAAAGTCTTCAAACTGGATGCCCCTGGTCTCTGTCCGGTTCCTCCTGTACTTCCTGATGATGCCAGGGGCAATCTCATGCCTGTACCAAGGCTCAAAGCGGGGGTTGTGAACAAACTTGTCCTTAAATGCAGAAATCAGTCTTTCAAAGGGATCTCTTACAATAAAAAATTTGAAGTATGTTTTCAAGCTAAGGAAGAAAATGAAGATAAAGAAGAAGTTAACCTGATGCTACTGGCGGTGGTGGTGGTGGTGGGTTGTGAGTGGGGAGAGAGAAGAGTAACAGCTGGAGCAGCAGCAGCCACCGGGAGCCCTGGGACCAGTGCATCCCATGTGGCTCTCGCTTCATCCACACTTGGGGGCAGATCCTGCCATCAGCCCATTTCCAGGTGAGGAACTGGAGCCTCGGAAACGTTAACTGTCTAAGACCACAGTACTCACTGCCCTCAGGGGCCACTGTGAGGACCCCTGTTTAACTCATGTGTTGTTTAATTTGAACAACTCAAAACTTTAGGAATGTTTAAACGTTTTGTTCTTGAGCAGGAAACTGAAAGGGCAGGAACCTTAATTGAGCCAGAGAAAGTTACTTTAAGGGTATGTCTTCAAAAACTCAATTCAAAATTGCCAGGAAGGAAAAATGGGGGTGGGGGTAGGAAGAAGGGGGGTGGGACTTCAGAATCCAGCTGAGGGGAAGGGGTCTCGGGAGCTTTCGGTGGTGGCAGTACCTGCATAGAGGGCCTGTAGTGACAGTGACAAAATGACGACACTGCTGCCATTCCGTGTCCTCATCCAGGCTGGGGAGACTCTCAGAGCTGCACGGCTCAGCCCCTTACCCTCACAAAAGCCCCGAGCCTGGTGCTGGGGGGCGGGGGGGGGATGGGTTCGATCTGGCCTCTGACATCTGCGTTCTGAGGCGGTACTGGTTAGGAACGCCCAGCTCCAGAAGCCGCTGAGCAGCGGGGGTTGGGGGGGTCAAAGATCACTCGGTGACGTTTATTTGCTGCTTATGCATCTACTCCTTTGAAACCTCGTTCTATGGGGCCAATTCAGAGCCACCAAGAGAACTGTTCAGTCAGCTGCAGGATTCTTCCGAGGCCCGCCTCCATCCCTGCAGTGGCCGGAGAGGCCTTCTCTCTGCCTGTGCGGGGGTCCAGCCCCCACACCGCGCCTCAGGGCGGCTGCCGCAGGAGCAGGCATAACACCTCTGGAGAAAATGAAAAACGAAGTGGGGTTCCCTGCAATCCAAACCCCTTTCTTATGAAATAAAGGGCATATTCAGTAAGAAATCCAAAAAGCTTAACAAAACCAAAGCAGAACAGTAACACGACAATTATGAAATGTTCCTTTTCATGGACTGCAAGAAGGTCAGGGGTGGAGAAGACATTCTGAAACCCTCATAAAGAGAATTTAAATGCGCTGAACACTGGTTATGTGCCCAGCGGTCTCTCACCAGCACAAACCAGCAGCCCTCAGAGCAATTTGGGGAACAGCGCGAGGACAGAACTGAGCCTGGGGCCCCATCCAAACCCGCTGCTCCTACCGCTTCTGAATTTCCACATCGCTGAAGGAAGAGAGGCGCGGGAGGCCGTTCTTCTCGTGGTCGTGAACCACGTTTTCGGGGATCTCTTCGATGGAGGGGAAGGCTCCTGGGAAGCAAACAGGGAGAGGGAGTGTTGGCTGCCGTCGGGGCCCTGCCCTGTCTCTAAATCAGGCCTGTGCTCCCCACAAGCCATCCCCACTAGCCACGTTGTAGCCTTTGAACTTCACCTGCTTCTGCGGGTAGGTTGAGGGTGAAGCAAAGCTTTGGGCGATCCAGAAGCAACTAGAGGAAACAGACGAGTTAGGAGGAGGAAGGGGAGGAGCAAGGGGCACACGTCCAAGCACCTAAAATGGGTTCAATCTGCTGTGACAGGAGGATCACTGCCTGCCCACAGAAGTCCAAGACCATCCATCCTTATTCTCCTGGGAAACGGGGAGAAAAGCCAGAGGAGCAGGACGTGGCACGCACACTGCCCATCGCTCCCAGCGCAGCATCCCCGGGCCTCAGGGGTTCCTAGGTAACCTCCCAGCACCCCAGCCCGGCAAGTGGAAAGGATGCTTGGTGCTGGAAAAGCCAGGCTAATGCTGAGGGAGTGACGTGATGTATCTGAAGCAGGACTCGGGGGGACAGGGAAGGTCTGGGGAGAAGGCAGGGTGGGACCAAGAGCCACAACACCATGTCCTGCTGCCAAATGGAACCTGGGGCCCATCCCAGGGTTAGGCGCTGGGCAGGTGTTTCACTCCTTTCTCTACTCAGACAAATGGAAATGTGGTGTCATCGTGCTGGGGGGGCCAGCAGGCCTCGGCAACCCTTCATGTCCATCTGTGTTAATTCTGCTGCCTTCAAGTCCTGCAGAGAAGGGTCTCTCGGGCTGTCTGAGCAGAGGCCACAGCCGTCCCAGAATATCTAAGCCTCGATCCAGAACCCCGTGCTAAGTACTGCGGGTGGAACACCAGCCCGGCGCACGTCTGCTCTCAAGGGGCCGACCAAAGAGCCAGCTCTGGCACCTGTCCCCCGGCAGGTGACAGCAGCCCCAGAATTGTCCTTTGCCAGTCACAGGGCCCTGTTTTCACCCTGCCCTTGTAAACAGGTTCTTCTTCCTTAAAGTCTGACGCTTCATACTGTGGTGGCCAGTGGGTAAGACTGTGGTACATTTGATCTGTAACCTCATTCTCTGATGTCAACAATCCAACATGAGGTCAGATTACTCACGCACATTAATAATGTACCAGAAGATGAGGCCAGTGTTTCTCTTTCCCTCCCCAAACACTGACAGCCAACTCTGACCACCAGCTCTGAGAGCAGCGGCAGGCCTGGGGGTCTGGGGACCCCTCGGGGCTCTGAGGTCTGCTTCCTGACCCGGGACCCACACTGCTGTCCACTGGAACTATGTTCCTTTCGAAGCTGAGTTTAACACACAGAGCCCTAATTATCTTGCGTCAGTTCAGCGTAATTGGAGTTTAAACAGACAAACATGGCGTCTGAAAAGATTCGTGAGTAATCAGAACCTGCAGTGTGTCAGGGTGCTTCTCAGTGATCTAATTTGTTTCCAAGTAAACATCAGACTTCCTGAAGCAAGTTGATTAAATCCTCTGAATACGGATGCTGGGTGTCAGACGGGGCCGACTTCTCTCTGCCCAAGAGGCTGCGGGCGGGAGGCCCCAGACACACTGGCTGGGCTGCCCTCCCTGGCACTGGGTATAGAGTGGGCCCTTCGCAGCACAGCAGGGCCACCAGGAGGGCAGCTGCCTGGTGGCTCAGTGAGTGTGGGGCCTTGACCTCCCAGGACAGAGCTAATCACTCAGGAGAATCAATGCAGTGACCAAAGAAAAGAAGAAAAGGGGTCCCCCTAGTGGGCAGTCTGAGAAGGGGAAGGCAGCGGGTCCTGATTGTAGGTGTGGCCTTTTGAAAACAGCAGGGTCTGGGTGAAGTCCCTCTAAAACCTAACGCACAACACGAACAGAACACCAGAGAGCTGTCTGTAAGTGACCAGCCTCCCCGGGCTCCCCTCTGCCGCCTTCCCCCACCTCCCCTGCCAAGGCCACGGTGAGACCCTCCGCATGGACCACGAGGGCCAGCCAGGACGGGCATCACCGGGCACTGCACGCACCGTTCAACACAATGAGGACTTTCTTCCACTGGGTGTTGCCCACTTTGGGAGTCTGGCAGAAGAGGATCTTGTGCTTGTCGCAGACGAATATTCGGTCCAGGACAAACTTGGAGACCGCGGTGTGTGAGAGGTTCCGCAGGGCCTCCTCCCCGCACACATTCCTGATGAGCTCCAGGCGCTGCACGTAGACCAGGGGCTGGACAAGCCGGCTGCCTGACACCATCTTCCCGGTCGGCTGCAGGTCATGGAGGCAAAACAGACACAAGAGCTTCATCAGCAGACACGGGAGAGGACCCTGCCCTCACCTTGTGCTGGACGTTGTTAACTCGAGGAGGTAAGAGCCTGGGAGCTGCCCCTATGGACACAGCAGGACAGCGGGGGCCCAGGGTGCAGGCTGCTTGGATGTGCATCTGACACTCTGTCTCTTCATCCTCGGCTTGGACAAGCCGAGGTGATGGGGCTGTGCCTGTCAGTGTGCTGGGGGTGCTAAGGCCCAGGGTGTCCTGGAAACAGCAGGATACTCTTCATTAAGGGACTCAGTGAAGGCCACTTTCTGCCCCCTCGCTCTCCCGAGCATCTCCCTGAGTGGACGCATGAGGACTGCACCTGAGGACCTGCTGTCCACACCTACGGTGGCTGTTCTGAAGATAATCTAATATTAGATAACCTAGTGTTATCTCATGGTCTTTATACACTTTTGGGCAAATGTACGCAGAGTTTAACATCTAATGACTCTTGGTCTCAGAGAATCACATCTAATCACCATTCCCCATCTCCGTCACGTTGCAACTGAGCTGGAGGAGAACTGGGGCTGGGCAGGAAGAGACGAGGACTGAGCCAGGCCACCATGCCCCGTCCTGACACACGGGCCAGCTCCCCGAGCATCACATCTCCCATGTGCAAGACGAGAAAAAACACCTGCACCTCCGAGGGCTGCTAGTGAGAACCAGTAAGACCCCCAGGGAAGTACTCTGTGCACTGTGAAGCACGTCAGGTGCAGTATTTCCCCCCACAGCGAGTCCTGCAAACCAGCAGTCTCTCAGGAAGACCCCCCGCATCCCCTAGTGACCGCTGGGCGACACGCTCTCCCTCACGGCTGTGGCACCCCGGGCGCTCCTGTCTCAAAGACTGCATTCCTCTTGCAAAACTCTTACACTGCCTTTGGTCATTCTTGATACGAGTAACTACACACTAACTTCCTTAACTCTTTCTACTAAAGCCAGCCTCCTGTTTTCTACAGTTTGGGGAATTGGGTTGGTTTGGTTTTTTATCTCTGTAGTCTGTTCCTGCTCGTCCCTTGCCCTGGAATGCTATGATCCAGGACCATCTCAGAGGTCCTGCAGACCTGCTCTCTGTCTGTCCTTCCGACATCCTGTGAGAAGTGAACTCTGACAGCACTTGACTCCGAGCAGTCTGCCCTCTGCTGGGTTCTGTCTGTTGTCCGCTCACTGCAGACCACGGGCAGGACTGTCCCTCCTCTGGGCTTAATTCTGTCTGACAACCACCTGTAGAACTTGCTCTACTCATTTCATCTCCTCGGGTTGGACTGCAACCTAAACCTTCCAGGCCCAGCACAGGGGTCAGCAAGAGGGGGGGTGTCTCAGGAGTGTGCCCTTCATCCTGGCTGGGGGATGGTGAGGAATTTATGTGCCAAGGGAGCCTGAGGGGACAGCCTTGGAAGCAGAGTGTCAAGGGAGGTGAGCTCCGGGTGACAATCAGCAGCGGGCTCTGCTGCTAATGCCCCAGTGACTTTGGACAATCAGCCTTTTCCCCTAAACTCAGATTTCTCATCCTCACCTCCTGAAGGTTGGATGAGCTGCCCTTCTAACTCTCAAGTCCCAGGATTCCCAGGATGCAGGGTTGGAGATCCTCTCCATCCCCGGTTTTCTCCCCACCCTGCCCAGCACCCCCAATCCCTTCCCCACGAGGCTCATTCTCAGCTCGACCAGCCTGACATCTGATGGCGCACCCACGGTGCAGGAGGCACCGTGAGGCTTAGAAAACAGGTGGGACCCTGCCCCTCCCGTGAGACACTAAAAAGTGAGCAGAAACGGGCAGAAGTGACAACCACCGAGCAGAGGATGACGGTAACCAGGTGATGAGGGCCCGGAGAGGGCAGCCACTTCCCCGGGATGGGGACCCACTGGGGCCGGGGGTGGGCGGCGGGCAGGCACACATGGGAAGGGGCAGCCCTGCTCCCCTGCGCGCGGGTCAGAGGTCAGCGCCACTGCCTGGCTGTGCGCACCTTCAGCTCCTCTGGAAAGCGCTTCTCTCCCGGGGACCTCCCGGCGTCCGGCACGGCTGTCAGGAACAGGAACTCCTGCCTGGCGCTGTAGGCTGGGAGACAGAGAGGCTGAAACGTCTTCTCAGCAGCAGCAGACGCACGGAGCAGTGCCACAGCACAGAGGCCCAGGAAGGGACCCACACAAACGCACCCAGGGGACGGCTGCCCACGTGCGAAGCGCCAACAGTCCTTCCAGCAAGCGGCGCCCGAGCAGCCGACGGGGCGCCGCTCACAGATGGAAAGGGAGCCTCTCCCTCAACTCCACACTCCTTCCAAGAACAAGCTCCAAGTGGACCAGCTCTTACGTGTAAAACATAAAACTTGGGGGAAAAAAATAGGAGAAAACCTTTGGAAAAATCAATAAACTGAATCCCATCAAAACTGAAAACTTTTCTCTGCACAAGACCCCATGCAGAGGGTGGGAGATGAGTTACAGACTGAGACTGGGAGGAAGTGTCTGTAAGCCATGGAGCTGGCCAAGGACGGGTATCTAGAATATGTAAAGAGCTCTCAAATCTCAACAGTAAAAAATGCAAACAATCTGAGCAGAAAATGGGCGAAGCAGGAACAGACATTCCACCAAAGAAGGTCTATGGATGGCAAGTAAACACGTGAAAGGGTGCCCTGCCTTGTCGGCCATCAGGCCGATGCAAATTAAAACCACAGTCAGACAGCACTACCCACCCAACGTGGCAAAAACTAACAACAGTGCAAACTCCAAATGCTAGTGAGGATGCAGAGACACTAGTCACTCATACCTTGCTGGTGGGGATGTAAACCGGTACAGCAACTCCAGAAAACTCCAGAAGCAGCAGTTTCTTTAAACACTAAGCATTCAACTTCCATATGATCCAGGGTATGCATTCCTGGGCATTTATCCCAGAGAAATGAAAATTTATGTCCCAGAAACCTACACACGAATGCTCACAGCAGCTCTATGTCTAACAGCCCCAAACTGACACAACTGAGCTGTCCTTCAACAGATGAGTGGTGAACCAGTCAGAGGTACACCATACAATGGAATACTACTCAGCACTAAAAAGGAACAATGATACCCACAATAAATTGGATGACTCTCCAGGGAATTACTGAATTAAAGAAAAAAAAAGCCAGTCCCCAAAGGTCACATACTGTATATAACATTCTTTTTTTTTCGGTGGGGGGGGTTAGGTTTGTGTGTTTATGTACGTATGCATGTATGTATGTATGTAACGGAGGTCCTGGGGATTGAACCCAGGACCTTGTGCATGCTAAGCACACACTCTGCCACTGAGCTACACCCTCCCCTCTGTATATAACATTCCTGACATGACAAAATTATGGAGAGGAGAATAGATTAGTGGTTGTCAAGCGGGGGAGGGAGCAGGGTGGGAGATGGGGAGAGGGAGGTGGGCAACTCCAGGGGCCCCGGTGATGGAGAGGCCCTGCATCCTGACCGTGTCCTTGTCAGCACTCCACTTGTGACTTCGCACTGTAGTTTTGCAACACGTTACACTGGGATAACAGAGTAAAGGGTACACAGAAATCTCTGAGTTCTTTCTTACAGCTGCAGTGATCTACATGTACAACGATCTCAAAATTAAAGGCTTAATTGGAAGAAAAGCCAAGTCAGCCGTCAAGCTAGCAACTGCACATTATTTTCAAACTTCACAGGAAGTGAGATCAGACTGGAGGACCCTCACAAAATGCTAGACCAGAGTCATAATTTGTAACAAACAGATTTGGGGCAAAGCTCTGGGTAGAATTTGAAGATAATTTTCAGATCTCTACAATCAAAGAAACATTTACTTTCAAAATTTTGCAAAGCTTAAATACACAATTAGAAAGAAAAAGTAGTCATTGAATAAAAGCATAAAATCAGCATAACAAAGCAGAGGCAAAGGCATATTTCACTTTGTTAAAGAAATCAAAACCTATTCGTCTTGGGTCCTTACTACCAACACTCTGCACCCTCTGCTGCAGCCCACCCCCCGCCCCCAAAGCGTCTACACTTTTCCGAAAACATCCAGCATAAAATTTGCCACACCCATGAGAACGACACTTCATTCATCAGATGCCACCAAGAAGTGAGGTGCTCTTTAGAGGCTGTCCTGCCACATATTATGACTCAGAGGCATGCATCGTATTTACTTGTTTTAGTGGAATGTAAAGTGTATTACATGTACCCCTAGCTTTTAAATAAAATAAACCACAAACAATTTAACCTCATGACCTGGCTTTTGAGTCCCCTCCCAGAAGGTGACAGTTAAGGGAATCAAGAATAAAACGTGTGGCCTCTCAGTGACACCACCTCACGTTCTCAGCAGCTGTTTCTCTGGCAATTTCTCAACCACGATCTCATATGTGCTCCTCACCTGGGTCCCCCTCCTAGGGTCCCGTCACCTGGTCTCTGGCTGGGACCCAGCAACGGGAGGTTTACAAAGTTCCCACTTGATTTTAAAGTGCCTTGGGGATGAGACCCACTGCTCTGACTCTTAACAAGGATCTCCTCTGTTGGTGACATTCACGGTGCTGAAGCACCTGGAGGACCAAACAGCCAGGCTGAGAGCATCGTCTCAAATTCTAGCAGCCTTCCAAGCTGGGCCTGTGCTGTCCTGACAGAGGCCCTGGTCCTCAGTGTGACCGCGATTATCCCTGATGCTCTGTGATGCTCCTGGCCACCCAGATGCCTGCAGGTGTAATTCCACCTTCCCGAGGCTGTGAAGCCTCTCAGGTTCTCCCGAGGGCTCTGGCAAGACGAGACGTCGGGGCCCTGAGCAGTAAGGGCCTGTTAACTGTTACTGAGTGGAAACCGGGAGCTGAGAACCTCCCTGGGGGCCAATCTCAGCGCCTCCCTCTTCTGCCTGCAGACTTGCCCTCCAACCTCATTACTCCTCCACAGAGAGGATGGAAGCAGGGGTGGAGGGGGTTACTGGGCAGCCTCGGTGCAGCCGGGGACCCACCTGGAGCTCTGCAGGGCAAGCAGGGCACACAGACAGTGCAGGTGTGCAGCACCCAGGATAGGTCCGGAAACCCTGGTGTAAGCCTTCTCACTCCCCTGCCCCACAGGCCCCACTGCAGGTGGAGACGCAAAGCCGCTGCAGAATAAAGATGCTGGGTGCTCCCTCTCTACCAGGCAGGCATCCCCGGGCCATCCAGGGCTGCTCTCCAGTCCTTTCGACACCCTCCTGGCACCCTCCTCACTCTGCCACTGAAGAGGTGGCCCCAGGGCCCCTCACAGGTGACTCACAGGGCCTCATGCAGGCTCGGAGCCATCAGAGCAGGGAGCACGTCCATTTCATAAACAAAATACTAAGGCCCCAGGAAGCAAAGGATAAGTGCATGAAGCAGGCACGGCTCTTCCGAGGCTGGGCTGGGTGCTCATTCTACGTCCTCATCTGAATGCCACGTCAGGTCATGGGGAGTTAAGGCATCCTTGAGGACATTTAGACCACCTTCATTCCTGGGCGCTGAAGGTGACCTTCAAACACACGTGGCGGCCAGCAGGCAGCAACAGTAAACACACATCTCACAACAACACAAAGCAGGGCTGGTCCCCAAGCCCAGAGCCTGCGAGGAGGACACCAAAGAAGCCCCCAAGGAAAGCCTGTTCCGCTGGCGCCCAGGGAAGGTGATGGGGGACCCCTCCACCCTGTCCACCTTCCCTCTCAAACCTCTGCAGCACCAAGGATTTGGACACCCTGGCCTGCGGGTCCCTCCTGGCATCAGAGTCCTTTGATCCTGTGCCAAAGTTCATCTGAGACGGACCAGGAACCACCGCGCAGCGAGGTCTGAATTCACCAAAATCCACTCCAGGAGGAGGCACACCTACCGTCGGGGTCTTTAAAGGTCAGTGTGATGAACTTGCTGGCCACCATGAACATGAAAATCACCCAAAAGCATGCGGCCAACAGAAGCCACTGGTGGTGCATGTTGTCAAATATCAGCCATTCAGCGATTCTTCCTGGAAAACACAAGCAATACGGCCCGGCTGCTTACAAATAAATCAATGAAACAAAAAGTAATAAAAAAAAACAGGCAATTTCAGTTAATAGCATCAATACAAACACTGTTTAAATTTGCTATCAATACAATGAGTGTTTTGACTTAGTATTTCATTTAATGTTACATTTTAAATTAGCAACAACCTGCCAGTTTGATAATTAAATCCGATTTAAAACACCTTAATGGAAAGGAGGAGGAAGCAGGGACTTCGGGCAGCCTTGGCACAGCAGGGGACAGACCCATTTCTATTTGGTTCTGGGTCACGTGACAAGATTTTGCTTTTGCAGGTTGGCCTGTTGACTCCTTTCTGACTCAGGCTAGTGTGTCCCCAGTACCCAGCACCTGCCAGGGCCTGGAAGCCGGGGCAGGAAGGGGCTGGGTACAGTCTGGGCCTTGGCTGCAGGTAATTCTCAGAGGGCAGAGGCCGTCTGGAGGCCATTACAAGCAGGCTGTGTTTAAAATTCTGACTTGTTGATAAGACCTATCCATACTTACAGAGATGCAGAGACTCTGAAATGGTAGAACCCTCCCCACCCTGAGCTTCTGTCTAAGTGCACTTGCCTGCCGGGGCCTGCGCAGAACCCTGGGGGTGGGCGTTTCTCATGCTCTCACAGCCCAGGGGGGACGAAGGGCACCTGGGTCCTCAGGGGGTCACAGAAGTCGCACTCTGCTGCAGGGGACACAGAAGAATCAAGAAGTTGCACTCAATTCTAGGCAAGAGAGATAAAAAGTATTTCATGTCACCTTTAACACAGTGGCTTCCTGAAGCCAAACCACGCCATTTGAAAAGACCATGCTGGGCTGGGCTGGTTTCCACCAGTGGATGGGTGGGTGGGGAGTCCACCACCCCCGGGCAGCAGGGAGAGAGCTGGTTTGCTCCACAGGTGCAGACGGCAGGTGACTTCAGAGAGTGCACGCTGGGGGGACGGAGCTTAGTGGGGGCCCAGGGAGTCAACACTCCCCCTGTCTCAACAGTGTTTATTTGCTGGGATCTCACTGCAACCCGAATTCCCTCCAGCAAGGGGTTTTCCGGCCTCCACTTAAATACACCCTGCTATGGGGAGCTCACCCGTTGGGCATCCAGCACCTGGACTTTCCTTGGCAGGTCCCCACACAGCAGGAAGAACCCCAGTGTTCCTCCTGGGGTCCCTGCCAGATTAGACAAATAAAACCCCAGGATGCCTTGTCAAGGTTGAGTTTCAGATAAACAATTAATGACTTTATAGTAATTTATATTTTAAAAAGCTTTTTGTTGTTTCTCTGAATTTTGGATTTAACTGGGTGTCCTGCATTTTATCTGGCAACACTACCCAACAAGGGGACCACTGCCTCCTCTCTAAGTGCCTGAAACAGCCGGCCTGTCCCCGAGTCTCCTCTCCTCCTCTGCCACTCCTCCTTGGGGCAGTGCGGTACAGAGCAGAGCCCTGGACCGTGTCACTACTCACTAGCTCCGTCACTTCCCTTCTCTGAGCTCTGGCTTCCCATCTCTGAGACAAGGCCCTCCTCCTCCAGGATGGTCACGAGGCTTAAACCAGAGGACGCACCAAAAGGACCCACTTGGCCTGCAGCAGACCCTCCATAAACATAAATTGGCCAGTGCCTCGGCACCCTTTGTGACTTTTCTATTTTATTTACACATACCCAGAAATGAGTGCGACAGTGTGGTCTGCCCCAGGAAGAGAGGAAAGGCTAGACTCTCATCCAGGAGACCTGAGCTACTGAGCTCTCCCTTCTAGAGACAAGTGAGGCACAAACGGTGACCACAGGGCACAGGGCCCCTCGGTGCTGAGTCCACTGAACCATGGTCCCTCTGAGACAGTGACACTCGGGGGGGGCCCCTCTCCACCAGTCACAGTGGTGCCCCACTGAGGAAGCCCGGGGTTAGGCCTTTTCTAACAGAGGGGCAGAGGGGCCAGTGTGGGCTGGGGGGCAAGTAAAGAGAGAGAAGACAAGCACCCAGGGGGCTGCACAGAGGCACCTGTGTCTTGCACTAACTCTCAGGCAGACTGAGGCCGAGGAAAGGGCCCGGGTGCTGAGCGGCCCGAGGCTTGCAAGTCTCACTTTGCCACAGGAAGTGCTGTGGACAAGCGAGCACAGACAAGGGGAGACCACTGCCCCACCACCCTCAGGTCTTGGATCTGCTCACACCCGCGCCTCCCCAACATCACGCGGGAGGTTTTAGGGTTTAAGGATCTACTTTGCCAGTGGGAACCAGTCTTCTGAAGGGATCATTTGAGTCCACACACGAGCTAGCTCACCTCCAGATAAAAGTAGGAAGATACTGAATAAATGGCCTCACGTGAAAACGAGGCTCCCAGCATCTGCCCTCTGGGGGGGCCCGGTGGCCGAGAGGCAGGCCTTCTACCTCCCAGCCAACTGAAAACTGAGTCTCCAAGCCACGCCTGCCTTCCTAATCCTGGGTTTTCGTCTTAAGTCACTGGACAGCTCTCTGGGCCCCAATGGTCTCGTCTGTGAGGACAGACGAGCCACCAGCACGCTGGGAGGCCCCCGTGAGACAGAATGTGCCAAAGCACGTCTTCCACAACTTAGAATATAGGATCCAACAACTCCTTCCAGATGGCAACTTATTTCAGAAAGTTCTGCTTCTAAAGAGACTTCTGCTAAACTCCTACTGAACTAAAATATCCAGAGAGCCCGTTTCCCGTCCAAGCCCGGCTGCTGTGTCGGATTGGGAGAAGGGAGGTCTGCAAGGCCCCCACCTTCAGCTCACCCTCTCCACGGCCCGCCTGGACTGGGCAGGGACGGCACCCAGGACACGTGGGGGCTGGCTGGGCTGCAGATTTGGATAAACCCTAGCCCCTGTCAAAACCTCTTGGGAAGAAGAGGATATGGCCAGAGGCCCTCGCCAGTGTCAGGAGGATGGCCACCCAGACCAGAATGGGCCCTGCCAATGGCCCAGTGCCCTGCTACAGTCCCCACGCAGGTTACATAGCCTGAGGGCGGTCACAGTGGAAGGCCGGTACTCAGGTGGGGCGCTCTCCCAGCTACTGGGCCCCCATAAACGCCAGGCAGGCAGGGCCTGCTTCCCTCCCCACGCACATGACAGGCAGGTTCTGTGACCCCACCCTGCTGGCCACCCCAAGTCGCCCTCCAACACCCCACCTAGCCTCACCTCCCGCCCTGCACCCATCACGGCCCAAATCTCCTGCTTCCCCTGGAAGCATGTGGGCTCGGGTGGTGCTGGTGCGCCCCAGGCTAGACCAGCAAGGCCACCTTCGTCATTTGCTGAACGACTGTGTCAACTGAGAAGCTTATCAGGAAGACCCAGGAGAGCAGCGAGGTACCTGAGAAAACGCCTCAGCCCCAGGGTCCAAACTCTTTAGAGGACCCCTTTAATCTCAAAATATTTCTCCAGTTTTTAGTTTTTAAAAAGGATTTACTACTATATTTAAATATCAAGCAGAGAGAATAACACGACAAACACACGTTACAGACACACGGCTCTGAGCATCTGAGCTTTTAAAGGGAGTAAGTGCTACAGACGGGCTGGCGCCTGCCCACCCCACCCCTCCCCCGCGGACCCCCTCCACCGGGTGACGCCTCCCCCACATCAAGCACGGCTCCTGAGAGGGTCTGGGGAGGTGGGTGTCCCTGCCCAGGTGAAGGCCGGACAGACTGGGGAGGGGCCGCGGGGAAACCGCACCACTTACTCCGCTTTTTGGGGGGTGGGGCCCACCCTGGTGAGAGGTGCACTGTTGTTAAGCACTTAACTTTTTTTTCTTATGTTCTATAATAAGAAAATTCACAAATTACACACAGACTCAAGTGAAAAAGCCATGGAAGTAAAAGCTGGTTAAAAATGTAACCAAACCAGGACTTGTTCTCCAAGTCACGTGCTAACCAGAACCAGTGAGACTGGGCCCTCTCCAAACACCCCGCCCCTCAGGGCCAGTATCTCACACTTACAACACCGCGCGCGCGCGCACATACACACACGTGTCGTGTGCTGGTGGAGATGGCAGGCTAACAAGAGATCCACCCACATCAAGGACTCTATCCAAGATGCAGATGAGGCAGCGGACATGGCGAGAGGACAGGACCAGGGCCAGGACAGCACAGTCACGTCTGGGGGTGAAGGGGTGGAGCTCTGGGCACCCAGGCAGCAGAAGAGCATGGCCAGAGGCCCAGGCGCAGGCAGGAGCAAGCCTGGACCCCTGAGCCACCGACAGAAGGCCGTGAGGCCCCCCGCCCCAGCAGAGGTGGTCACACAAGGCTGGGCCCCAGAGCCATCACCACACAACCAGGAAGCCACTGAAAAGAGTCTTCCATGAGAAGAGGGGTGGGGGTGGGGATGCGGTGAGCCGATCGAAGCCGTGAAACTACTACTCTGGCAGCAAAGTCAGAGATGTCCAGCACCCCCGTCCCGTCCGCTTGGCCATGTCCTGGTCTCAAAAAGGTCATCTCCACAGGGAATAGGCACTATTCTGATCGGGCACAAGCAGAAGGACTAAATACTCAACAACACATCACCCTCAAGGCCTCTGAAAACCTGAGAATGAACCAGGAAGAGCCACAGCATCTGACAGGTTGGGCTTCTACGGATCCCGAAGAGCGGGGTGTCCAGGTGGCCAAGGCCTGTGCTCTGCAATCACATGCATCTGCCCGTGGTGTCTGACCGTATGTCGAGGGCAGCGCTCCGCGCCCTGGCTGCGTCCGGGAACCACACAGGGAGCTTTCAACAACTACAGCAATGCCCTGGGCCCAAGGACACCTGAGTCAACACAACACGACCCGTGGAGAAGGGTCTGGGCGAACCTGTGAGGATGGGTCTGGGCGTGTTTGAACAGCTCGGCTCAGGATTCCAAGAGTGGCCAGGGTGAGAGCTGCTGTCCGGCCCCCAGCCCTCCTTACTGCCCACATGATGCCCTGGAGGTCTGGTGAAAATGCAGCTTCTAAGCACTTTAACATGACAGCTGTTCTCCCACCAGGGTAAGAAGGAAAACTGGCAGCAAGGCTTATCTGTCAACTAGTCTACGGGTGACCTGGGTTTCCTGTGCTCTGAATACATAGATTAAAGAGGTTTAACTGGAATAAAGACCTCCGTCACTGGTCCCACTTACTCTCTTTTCCAGCCCCTCCCATCCAAAGGTAACTAGATCTTGTAAAATTAGGATTTGGGCTGACCTTGGAAAATCAGGATAATTTGCCCTATTTTTTTTTTTTAAACAAAAAGAAAGTCATTCCAAATTCCCAGAGCCCCAGCTCCTCCCAGCCTGCCCACCGTCTGCACTGTTTCCTTGAATACACAAATTCTCCATGGGTTTGCCTCGGGTCCAAGGGCAATGCCCTGGCTCAGTTTCTGTCTGCAGAGTCTGAGGCCTGACACCAACAGTCCTCCCTTCTTGGCTCTGTGAGGGCCACTGCTCTCCCTCCAGCCAGGTGACAAATGGCCTTTTAAAAGCCTGACATTTTCTGTAATTAGCTCTCCTTTGTCCAAGGAGCCAAGACAACTCCCCAAGTGCCTCTTGCAGCTAATGGGGGCGAACCCAAAAGTGTATCAGGTGCTGGCAGGGAGCACAGGAGTGTGCAGAGCATTCCCACTTCCAGTCAGTAGGTGGGATCTGCTCGTGTCAAGATGTCCAGCCCTGAAACCAAGCCAGGAGGCCGGCGCTTTGAAAACCCACAGGCAGCACAGTTGAAGAACTGAAGAGCTTATGTAGGGGCAGGGGCAGGGAAGCAGGGAGATCGTTAAACACACAAGAAATCCTAACCTGTGACCCTGTCTCTAAACTAAATGGAGCATAGCACGTATTTTACACGTTGGTAACGACCGACAATAACTTTCGTGCTGTTACCACCTCTGGGTGCAAATTCTCTGTCACTTGCATTTTCAAAAAGATGCTTTTTGAACTCATCCATTTGGCTTGGCTGCCAGTGGCTTTCCCCCCCGTGTTTGAGTTGTCATCCAAAAGCATTGTCCTTCTGAATTTGTGCTGAAGTTTGACTCCCACCTGCCTAGTTCTAGTCCTACTTTTACTGTGCACATCCACTCATCCTGTGGTAAATAAGCCCATTTAACCCTGTTTAAGACAGAGTTAAACAAATTTTAAAAAGCAATTGGTCTAGACATGGTCTAGGGTGCACACAACACAGATAAATCTCAAAACCGTGGTGCAAAGGGAATACAATAAAAAGAGACTAAGATATATGACAGTGCCATTCATGTAAATTAAAAACACAGGCACAGAAACCAAAAATACACATTCTACAAAAGCACAGAGAAAGGAAAGGATGACTTTTCCAGGGATTTCGTGCGGGAGCAGGAAGAGGAATGAGACTGAAGACAGGGCATTCGAAAGGACTCTGCAAGTGAATAAAACAAGACAGGGGTCCTGCAGATGTCAGTGATGGTAGCCAGGACTAATGTCCATCCAACAACTTGAATGTGAAGGAGACAGAGGGACAAGAAACTAGACAGAGACGTGAGATGAGATTAAAAAAACCAAAGACCAAAACCCAGCTTCTTCCCAAATGTCATGCACACATTCAGCAGTGTTTACTAAGGGCTTACTCTGAGCCAGGAGCTGCTCCCGGACCTGGGGACACAGCAACACCCTCCTCCCACCATGGTGCTTGATTTTGATAGAGGCAGACAGGCCATAAACAAACACACGATGCTAACTGACACAGATAATAATGAAGAAGGGTGAAGGGAGGAAGGGGGACCTCTCGGAGGAGACAATGTTGAGAACAAGCTCAATGGATAGAACTCAGCCACCCAGCAAAGAGCTGGGTCCGGGGCCCAGAATCCCAGAAGCAGCAAGGAGGCCGGTGCCCCAGGTGCGGAGTGAGCAGGAGGGCAAGGGGATGGCCTGGATGAAGGGCCCTGACAAAGGCCCTTTACTGACATGGAAACTCCTGGGTCCTCACCCCCATCACACACGTAACCAGTGTTGTAACACATTTACTCAAAACGTACCCAGATACTAAAGGAAGCTTCAGGAAAAAAATATGGCCATGCACCAGGACCTGGGAACCCTGGGAGGACTAACCTGGAAAAGGGAAACTGGCCTGCAGAGGGCTGGAGCACCGAGGACCCTCTACAACCAGCGCTTTCACACCTTCCCATTCTGAACTGCACTGTGTTACCTAATCAACAAAGGTATTAAACCACAACTAAGAAAATAAAATACTGGGCATGAATTTATGATATATATAAAGTCCTACAACAATCACTGTGAATTTTAAATTCAAAGGAAGGGTTTCTCCCCATCCAAGTTCAGAAATTCCCTTTGTCTCCTTGGCCATTGTCATTACAATGTACTGTGTACAAGGGCTCCTCAGTTACCAGCGTGAAAACGCACTCCTCACCCTGGGCAGCTGGAGAGGGACGGCAAGGTGAAGACAGAGGCTCACAAGTGATAATAACCAAGGGCAAACACCCCTGCAGGGGTCCTGGCAGGTCAGGTACTGCTCTGGGCAGGTACTGAAGTCACCTAATCCCCTGCCTGAAGGGGAGCTCCTACTGTTATTATGGCTAAGAAAACATTTCCAAGAGTATGTGTATTATGGCTAAGGAAACATTTCCAAGAATATGAATAAGCTTCCTAAAATCTCCATAGGTACAAGACAGGAGGCAGTGAGAACGCTGGGGACACAGATCTCAGATAACGCTCACCATCTCCTCCCCGTACCTTCTGAGGCCTGATCCACATTTCCTTGCAGTAGCTGCTTCGTCCGAGGTTCTTGGCTCCTCCTGTCACTGTTTGGGACAATTGAAAATCAACAACAACAAATAAGTAAAGAGACCCACAGACACAGAAAACAAATTCATGGTTACCGAAGGGCAAAAAGGGGAAGGAATAAATTAGGAGTTTGGGACTGACAGATACACACTACTATAAAAAAAATAGATAAACGACTAGGTCCTACTGTATAACACAGGGAACTACCTTCCTATGTAAGCTCTAAGAACCTACAATGAAAAAGAACCCAAAAATGAATATACATACATGTATAGCTGAATCACTATGCTGTACACCAGAAACAAAACACTGTAAATCAACTTTCTTCAATTAAAAAAAAATAAACACCATTAAAGGTTATAAGATCTATTTACTGACTACAACTTGCTTTATACTCAGGAAACAGTTAACCACTTTGATTATTCAAGTATGTTTTGCACAACAGGTCTCTTATACAGGGGGTCATCTTTAGATGGCTTGGTAAATGAATAAATATTCTAAATGTACCAAAAAAGCTAACTGTTTAAAAGATTCTTTCCTGCAACTTGGTATGAAAAATGACTTCTTTTTTCTAGACAAAATAATCAAATCCTATTATACCTGTTTTATATGTTTGATTTGGGTAAAGGATTCCTGTATGAGATGATCAAATCTTTCAACACAAGATGTTCGCTGGGTTTTGTATTTCTTCAAGCCGTAACACCCTGGCAAAATTTTAACCAAATTATCATGAATGAATAACTGGAAACAAGCCAAACTCATGGAATTAGAGAGATTACAGATTTAATAGAGATAGCTGGTAAACTAAACATTCAGTTCATTTAAAACACAATACAGCCCAAACTGCCTGGGAGGCAGAGAGCACAGTCTAGTTATGTTTCTCTTTACTCTTATGAATTCAATATTAAAATTAAAAGCCATTTCATGTCACGAAGATGAAAAGATGAAGCTTTATGTACTCACATGCAGATTCCTCCAGACTTGTATCAGGAGAAAACGCTCTCTTGGCTTCTGTGATTTCGAAGGTCCTGCACTCACCTCTCTCCCCCATCTCTAATCTACTGCATAAGCTCAAGCATTTGAAAAATGATCTGACTATAACTGCAAACTGCTCCAGATATTAACTAATTCTTCCCTCTCCTTGTCCAGTTTTGCAAGAACTCCAGTTTTCATTCCAGGGAAGGAAAGAATTTTTCTCTCAAGTATTTCTTCGAGATTCTATTCTTAAGGTCAAGAGCAAGGATGGAAAGACCTTTCTTTCCATCTTGAAATTTCCGTTTTGACCCAAGATTGACTAAGCCCTAGTTATAATTGGGGGAAAGGGAGAAAACTGTTTCTTTCTTTGTGTCTGCTCTTTTCAGCCCAGTCAATGAAAAGAGTAAGGCCGGAGCTAAACAGGGCTGCCTGGTTTTTAAGAATGTCTGAGACATTTCTCACTCTGGCTGTTGAAAATGACCAACAGCCAGCTCTTCATGGCCCAAAGCCCTAGACTTTGGGTGTTTCAGACAAAAAAGCCCTTATGACAGTACTCCTGCTCAGCTAACCAGAACCTGGCTGCGCAGCTTTCTGCTCGGTGCCCGGCCCTTTCCTGCTTCGAGTGGACTCGGGAAAAAACAACGCAGCTTTTGGAAGGCCTGCTTCGTCTTCCCAGCCAGAAGTGCAGAAATTTATGCTTCAACCTCCAATTTCTGACAGGCCTCTCTTGTCAAAATCAGAGCTGAGGGCACCCTGGAGTCTACCTGGCAGGAAACTCGCATTTCCAACCATCCCTTCCCCTCCCACCCGCCAAAGACGGGCTTAACTGTGCCCTTAGGAAGGGCTGCACTTGGTATTTCGTCCCTGCCCTCTCTCTCTCTTTGCACGCTCCGTGCACCGGAGTGGAACATTTTCTTCTTTCCGCCCCCAATTACTAATGCAAACACTCAGCCAAAGATGAAGGGAATCAACTACGGATCACAGCATCCCCAGCAAGGACACCGCTTCGTTGCATAATTAACGTGATGAAGGCTCTACCCTTGAACCCTCCCGAACTAGGGAGGTCCCCCAGTCGCCAAAGAGCACTGGGGTGTTGCTGGCATAGACAAGCCGGTTCCCCTCGTTTCCCCGTCCACCCGGGGTGGGGTCGGGGTCGGGGTCCGGGAGTCTGGCAAGCCCACCCACCC